GTAAGAAGTGGTCCTTTGTGGTATTTGAAAAGCATAGGATCTTGATTTTCTAATATTCTTGCTGCAGAAGCAAAACTGATCAACAAAAATGCAGATATCAAGATCATATTGATGGAGAAACTGACTGCCATTTTGAATTGGGATTCGATAAGAACAGAAAAGTGGTAGAAAATATGTAGAATTTCTTTGTTTTTGTGAAGATTTGATGGTGGAAATGGAGAGTTGTGGCGGTTCTTTATATAGGGACTCAATCAGAATACAGGATGGTTCGAGGAAGAAGATGAGAGAATTTTGAAGACAGTATCTGCCAGCTTTTAATAACGCGTTGCTCACTTTAATGGATTCTTTTAAAGTGAAGTTGGGTGTTGACCCCAGAAACAAACATTATACGCCAGCATAGATTTGAGGATGGGCCTACCTCATAATTTTAAGGATATTCATTCGTAGAGAAAATTAGAGTTGGGCTACCCAACTTTTAAACAGTCTGGAAATCTTTCTCAAACTTTTAACGTAAATCATCAACCTGTTTAATACTGTGTTACAACAAGAGGGAAAATCAGTAAGGAGAACCTTATTACTTTTTGGCAAAATTTAAATTATAACTTGAACCGATCAAACATACATTTTATTCATATTCTATGAACCCTAATTTATTACATGTTTTTTATCTACACATTTTATAGAACACTCTCAAACATGTTCCTATTTACGTGAAAATTACATGTGTTCTGAACTTCGACATTATATACGATTTTAACTTCGACATTACTAATTTTTTATTCAATATGAGGATAGTGTTCCAACTAGCCCCCACCTCCTTTTGTCATTGCTTCGAAAATGATCATAAATTTAATCTTTCGATTTGATGGTTTTTGCCAAAAATCATACCGTGACCTCTTTATCCACTATTCACACAAGACAAGAAAACTACTGAACTAATGCAACCTTGAAGTGTATATTTATTGTGTGTGAGAGAGTTCACTTAATACAGCTTGATAACGCGTTACGAAATCAAGTTATGTTTGGCCAACGGCATTTGAGGAAGGTATGGAAGGAGACAAAATCCATTCCTTTCGGCTAACCATTGACTAATATTTTAATTAATTAAAGTTTGTTGCTTTGACTTTAGGACGTAGGGGACAGCTTGAATATACAAGTTAATTATATGTATCAAGCTGCTGGAATTTGTAGTACGTTCTGTGTGCGTACAAGCATGCGTGAAGGTTGGTTTCAAAATATTATAAATATTTGTGATGAAATGAGTCTTCGAGGTATTTGGATATGCTCTGTAAATATCGTTTTTATTAATATATTTAGTATGACTCATAACTTTTTATGTACACGTTTCATATGATCCACAATTTTTATTTTTTACAAAACTTACACCTAATCTCAAACAAACAAAATTAAAATTGAATTTATTTGTTGTCTTGTAATTTTGATAGAATATCATTTCAAAATTACAAATGAGAAAACTAAGACCGTATTACTTATAAACAAAATCAAGGCGAGAATTTTGAGCAATACAAGATTGATATGAGAATGTATGATAAACTTTTATCGAGGATAAGGAAATATACCAATAATGCTTTTGATTGAAAAGATGTTATGAATTTCGTGAACTTGAAGGGCTATGATAAATTTACTCAATTCCTATAAAGTAGGGAGTTTTAAGAAACAGTGAGTTGGAAAGATACTATGACCATAAATTTACTCAATTCCTATCAAGTAGCAAGTTTGAAGAGACAATGAATCAAAAGATACTTTACTAGGTGTTGACCCCAAAAGATGTGCCAATAGAATCTTCGTCACGTCCCTTCCACGTGGACATTACTTGCACACCGAACACCCCATTAGAAAACAAAGGCCACCGGTCAAAAAAAAGGTCCGAAGACCGTTTGTACTCCGATGGTCAAGTAAACGATTGGACAAAAGAAAGAATGAGTGCAAAAGACGAAAGAGGGGAAGAGAACATGGTTAGAGAACGTCCCTTAATTGAAATGGATCACACACATATATAAAGAAACAAATGGGCCGAATGGGAAATGGGCCAAGGTCCAAACCCAATAGTAAATATTTTACGGGTATAACAATAGTCCCCCAAATCTGAGTCGTACATTCATGAGCGAGTCGGATTTCGAAATATAAGATGTCAGTAGGTGAGGTATTACAGATTGCCTAAAAAATATAAGTAACTCCGATAAGCGAGGACTTACGAACTGTATCGAAAATCTGCTTCGATCCCAAATAGGCGAGCAACTTCAATAAATCAGGACTTATGATTTGTCTTAGAAAATATGTGTGCTAGCCTGAATAAGCAAGGGCTTACGAATTGCCTCGAAAATATAACATGCTCGAATAAGCGAGGACTTTCGAACTAGCTCAGAAAATGTGTGGCAGCCTGAATAAGCGAGGACTTATGAATTGCCTTAAAAAATAGATGCTGCATATAATTTGTCGAAATTTCGACAGCATCTCCTCTATAATATGGACTAAACCAATCCTGTAATACAACACAATATATCCATTGCACATATACTAAATAAATTTGGGGTCCATTTGCCCCTCAAATTACTCATGACGATAAAGTAAATAATGACATTTTAAATTTCTCTGAGATATAATATGCGTCATAACCTGCTAGCGGTGATGTGAAGTACATACTCGACAGTAGTCCCCCAAGTCTGAGTTAAATATTTGTTAAATAAATAAAATTCTTTTAACTCATGTACTGGTGCTATTTACTTCCTACACTTACCGCTTCTGTTTAATGTATTGACATGCTCTTCAGTATAATCCGAACTTAGTCCACTCCAATAATAATATCAAACTCATAGTTCTGTATAAGTGTTAGAAGGTCATGTACCTTTATAAATTTCTGAACGTATGCACATCAATGTTTATGAACTGATGCTAAGCACTTCAGACTTTAGTCTGACTTTATTTATAATTTGCACAAGTAGCAACAGTTCGCTTGCCTTTCTCTTCCTAAGCAAGGGGTTGAATGGTTCGTCCATGCTGAGGCTTTCTTAACAACTTTAGTTGTTCAAGGCATGTGCCATACTTTGCGAGCGTAGATGTGGTCCTTTTTGGAATCCAACTCCTCGTCGAAGTGCCCACACATCTCTTCATAGGGACAGATCATCTATGAAGAGGTTTCCCCTTTGATCTTTATAGAAATAAGAGTATTTTTAACTTTCCTAAGCATGAAGTTGAGCGGTTCGTCCATGCTAAGGCTTCCATAACAACTTTAGTTGTTAAAGGCATGTGCCACACTTCGTGAGTGCAGATGTGGTCCTGCTTGGGATCCAACTCCTCATCGAAGTGCTCACACGTCTTTTTATATGAATAGGCCGTCTATGAAAAGTCTCCCCCTTTGAGCTTTCTCAATAGGAACTTCTTTTTATTATTTTTGAAGTTGTGCAAATATAATTTTTCAGGTGCGAACTTTGTTTCTTGAATGAGGACTCCAAGACATTGCCACCTCTTCCTTTATTCAAGGAATGAGGACTTATAAAATATGCTGCATGCTGCCTCTTCCTTTATTCAAGAAATGAGGACTTCTAAAAATACTGTCTCTTCCTTATTCAAGGAACGAAGACCGGCTCTTCCTTTATTCATGGAACGAGGATCGCCTCTTCCTTTATTCAAGGAATGAGGTCTCCAACTTGGGATAAGCATCTGGCGTGGCGATGAATAAACATCCTGCAAATAGTTCTCGAACTATCGGAGTCTTATAAGTGGGCCTCAGATAGACAATGTTTTATAGCTAGGCTCAACAATAGTGATGTTAGAATCTTATAA